CATTCAAAACATTTTCAAATAAAAGCAACCATATTTCTTTTCTGTAAAAAGAAATTTCTTCATGAATAGAAACAACAAGATACATCAATGCACTATTTGCTCTAAGACATGGTACTTAAAATTATTTTCATGAGATCAAAATTGAAATTTTTTTTTATGTTGAGTGATTTCACAAACATTGGAAATACTTTATATTCTATGGAACCACTTTAATCTTTTAAATTCTTCAAAGAGTATTTTATAATTATTTTAATTGTCTAACTAAACATCATAATCATTTCTATACGTATTTAAAAAAAATTATCTAGATTGAAATAAACCTTATTGCATTTAGTATATGAGAATGCATCTATAAAATAATGTCTATTTTTGGTGGAAAATATTTGTGCGCCAAAGCACGGTTTGTATTTTATATTTTACAATATTTTTGCACGGTAATATAGTTGCAAGGTTTTACAAACGAATTATCTCTTGAACTTTAAATTAAGTTCACAGTTTATTCCAAAAATAATGTTCAACTTCTAATCATATCTCCCCCTATTGCTAGAAAAATATAACATTTACGCCCAACTTCATTTAGGATCCATTTTTATGCATGGTGGAGCAATTGGATCATATACTACATATTTTTTTAAAAAAAATAGATAGAAATTATTTAATCTTGATTCCGAATCAATTGTGATGGGAAAACCTTATTAGTTTGATGTGTACATATAATGTTTTATGTCAAATAAATTTATTTTATACTAAATTTTATTTGAAAGTATTTTTCTCATAACAAATAATTTAACTATATTGGAGACATGAAAATTCTACAAAACCAACTTGCATTATCAACATAATTTTATAGTTTGAAATTGTGCTCTTAATTAAACAATTCAAGATAACAATCTGGTAAAATTAAAATTACAAGTTGATAACAAACATATACATATGTACATCTCATAGATGCATTCATTAAATCATATAATAGTAAATGCTTCACAATAGAAGGGTCTATATTCATTTTTTTTTTATGTGTCAAACAATTTTGAGGAATTCAATTTCATCTTTAACTGGTACAATAATCATTTTATCATGAAAATAAGCAGCTCAAGAGAATTTTTGAAGAATCTTTTATTTCTTTAACATTTAACCACATGAATTTTTAATTTTTTTTTGCAATACATTTAAACCGAAATGGTCAAACGATCAACCAACTGATCTTTATTCTAATAAACTTCTAGTTTACATTTGCATGTGAGTGCATCATCATTATCATATTTGTACACAACAAACAAGAAAAAAATATAAACAATATTTTATTTAAATATTTATATTCCACTTTGACTGTAGATATTAAATCTTGTCATCATTTATAGTCTCAATATTATAATTTTTTTATTTTTTCAAAATTCAAAAGTTTACAATTATTTTTTTGAACTATAATATTATCCAAGATGAACATCTCAAGAAGAAAATTATTAATATTGTTATGGTTAAAATTTTACATACAATACTTGTTTTTTGCTTTACTTTTATCTTACCGTAGATACACAATCGACGATAACTTAGTGATCACACAATAATAATTATTTTGTTCATGACACAATATTTATAAGAAATACTTATTTCTTTCTTTTATCCTTCAGTAGTTCATAATAAAAACATACCATAATATTTGTGATGCATTCATAGTACGTAATGAAATGACAATTTATGTCAAATTATTTTCTTTTATACTCTCAAACCTCCCGTAAAGGTGAGATGAGTCATTTATCCAATTATACATAAATATGTCTTTATTCATGCTCTTTATCACATTCTGACACATTCACTTAATTTCAAGAGTAAGCAAGCATGATAACTGAAACTATTTATGCGTATCTTACCTTGATATTTGACACATTACATGACACACCTCAACATCACTTTCAAAGATTAAGCGCACCACCATATTATCTTTCTTTTTTTTTTATGAAGGTTTTATAAAATTATTAAATTAGGTCCAAAAAATTGTTTGTCAAATAACCTTTTATACTAGATTGATGACAAAAATTACCTTTACGTTTTGAAAGACCATTTTAAGACCTAATCTATCAGTGACTCCTTAAAGTTGGCACAATATTTCACTTAGACACCCTAATTGAATGATGTTCATTTTAAACACCCAATGTAGGGTTCCGCTATATCATTTTGACACATTTCTTAACATCAACAAAAATATATAATGAGTATGTGATATACTCGCGAATGACGTGAAAAATGAAGACATTTGTTATTTGTATCAAAGTAGTTACTAAATAATTAATTTTGAATAAAAATAAAAGCTGACCAGTAAATCAATAACACATAATATTTTCCACCTAATAATTAAAATATAAAATAAAAAAGAGCCATCTCAGGGTCATCTGCCCACCATTGCTATTTCAAAGAAATTTGTACGTTAGTTTATAGAAATTGATGTTAAAATTCTTTCAAGAAAAATTTATGAATGAATTTATTCTCTAATTTAAAAATATTTTCTGTTATTTTTGTTGAAAGAAATTTAACTTGGATAAAATGGTGGTTAAAACTGGAAAGAAGAAAAGAGAAAAAATAATTAAAAATCATTTCACGCTCTAATCAATGAGCGTATCACATTCATTATGTTATATAAGCAAAAGTGACAAAACGAAAATAATATATTACATGAAATGTCTAAAATAAATATCGTCTAATTAAAATATCTAAGTAACATATTGTGCCTAACTTTAGAGGGATCATCAATAAGTTAAACCCCATTTTAATAACTCATAATTGTCCTTTTTATTTAATATTGTCACAAATCACAATGATAATTAACATTAATTTGTCCTTTGTGACGTCCATATTCATGCATTTAACCAATCATCTTCATTTGGACTTATTATCACAATTATCCCACTTTCCTCACAAAATGGAGCATTCAAGTGGAATAGACTACACGATTTTTAATTTCATCAAAAACATCTTTTTGCTTTATTCATTATTATATTGTCGCTATTGTTGAATTTTATTTGCCCTAAATTTCTTACCATAAATAGATTTTTCTTTTAGAAAAAGGAGATTGACTAATTCTTTTCTTGTAGGAAAAGGTTTAGGACTCTATAAATAGAGACATATTCCTTCTAACTTAATCAACATTTACAATGTAGTCTTAAAGACTTTGAAAGTTTTTGGTTAGGGGGAGAAATTGTGGGTCACAAGCTTGATACGTTATCAATTGTGTAAACCTCCCATGTATTCTGAGTGAATTTGGTTGAGGTTGTTTCCCTCTGTATTTTGTACTCTCATATTTATAGTGGATTGTTCATCTCTTTCGTGGACGTAGGTCGATTGACCGTCGATTGACCGAACCACGTTAAATCTTTGTATTTTTTGATATATTTCTCATTATCTTCTTACTCGTGATCTTTCAAGGTTTGCATTGCTATCTTCCGCGTTACACCAACTTATTTACGATCCTAACAGCTATGGTGTGGAAACATAAATCAAACATTTTACTGATATAAACACATCTTTGATTATAACATGATAGAAATTTGAGCCCAACTTTTTATCATCATTATATACAAAAAGTTCTAAATTTTTTTTTTGATGTAGTAAAACTTAAATCCATAGTCTTGCCCCTAAACCAATGACATAATATATAACCCAAAATATACTAGTTTTCGCCCTCGAGCCCTTTAAAAAGTATAGTCAATATTTACGGTGACCGTGAATTTCTTAATTATGATATATAATTTAAAAGAAATCATGATCACATTCTACTGATGAGAACATGTGCTAATCAAGGGAAAACATGGATGTGAAAAATACTTTTTGTTAAAAGTAAAAAAAAATGTGAAATTTTGTTAGTTATTTACTACCTATACATTATTTGAGCATGTGCAAACTTTACAAATACCTAATAGAAGATTTTCACCTGCCTGTATATATGTAAATTAATTATAATGAACACTCTCACATAAAATAATTATCAGTATATACATTAATACTTGCCCTCCACAATGAATTAAATAAAATGTAGAACATGATCTACACTTCAATAAAACTAAGACCATAAAGAATAATTTCAAAATATACACATGTCAACAATAAATTATTTGCATATTATATTAACTTACTAAACAATCTTTACTTTTGAAATATAAAAATAATCAAGTTATAAGTCTGCTCAAAGTAAAGCACTTGTTAGACTCATCTGATTTTGAGAAGGTAAGCAAATTGATGGTGCATAATAGTCACAAGTAAAATATAAAATAGATTTCATTAGTAAAATTGTTTTTTACTTTCTTTATATATAATTATCAATATCCTTCAATGGTAGGTTAATTATATTGTTAACTTCTTGTTGAATTAAAGCAATAAGACAAGAATATTAAAGATAAAAGAACAATAAAAATAGAAAGACTAAGAGATAAGAGTTTTCTTATTCTTCTTTCAATAAGTATCATCAAGTGTATACAATATAAATTTTTGTATTTTTGATCTATCTATTTATAATGTTATATATAAGCATACAAAAGATCAGTCATAAATATGACTTTAATCATGAAAATAATGAAAGAGATTATGAAGGCGTAAGGTTACTAGAATAATAGTCATTAAAAAAAGGGGTTATCTTTATAATTGAATAATTGATGAAGTAATGGAGATAATTAGTGAGCATAAATTTTTTTAAAAAAATGGACATTTACACTATAATATTTTATAACACTTTCCCTTAAACATCTAGGTATAAATAATGAGTCTTGTCAAAATCTTAGTAGGAAAAATTCTGTGAAATTTTTTTAGTGAAAACAAATGATATAAATATCTTGAATACTCATTATTTGTTGTCTCATTAAAAATCTTATCTGACCTATAAAATAAATTATTTGCTCAACTCAAAATAGTTTTTCATTCTAAAATTAGTATAATTATTAGTGAATATTTAATTAACATAATTGTATACTAAGGGGCCTATAAATTGGATTCTTCTCAAAGAAAAATAAAATCACCACACAACTTTCTTCTTCTGCTCATCAATTAGCAATTAATCCAAAACCATTATGGCTGCCAAAAATTCAGAGATGAAGTTTGCTATCTTCTTCGTTGTTCTTTTGACGACCACTTTAGGTTCACAACACTTCTCCCTTATTTTGTTTTCTTAATTTCTTGGAAGTCATATGCATGTGTTTGGTATCATGGTATATATATAAAGGAAAATATTTTTCTTAATTACTGGTTTTCTAATGTTTGGTAGGTAATCGGAAATTATTATGAGATAATGAACTTGCAAAGTCATTATTATATAACTTTTTTTTTATACTTTGATTTAAGAATTCATTTTTCTCATTTTATATAAACTTATTTTTCAACAGAAAATATTTTTCGAACTATTCAAACACACCCTAAGACATTACATATATATATATATACACCCTCCGTTTTATATTACTTAATGCCTATTGAGTTGGCCCACCCTTTAAGAATGATTCAATTAGAGATATGTTTTACTAAATTAACCTATGCTTTAAGACTCTAAATTTGGCTATTACTATTTTACGTTGTAATTTAATGACAAACATTTCATAATGACTATAGTCTGAACTTAATTAGACAGACGTATCTATAGTTTGCTTACTAATGATTCATAGCTATATATTTGGAGAGGAGAGAGACAAACGATATTAAGAAAGGGAGGAGAGAGGCGAGGTAAATCTGAAATAGAGAAGAGAAAGGCAACCAATTTTGATCATCTATCATACTTTTGATTATTATTTTTATTATATGTACGTTTACATTACAGTTTTCGAATTCTTACATTAATCTTAATCATAATATATACAGTTGATATGTCTGGAATTTCGAAAATGCAAGTGATGGCTCTTCGAGACATACCCCCACAAGAAACATTGCTGAAAATGAAGCTACTTCCCACAAATATTTTGGGACTTTGTAACGAACCTTGCAGCTCAAACTCTGATTGCATCGGAATTACCCTTTGCCAATTTTGTAAGGAGAAGACGGACCAGTATGGTTTAACATACCGTACATGCAACCTGTTGCCTTGAACAATATCAATGATCTATCGATCGATCTATCTATCTATTTATCTGTCTCTGCGCGTATAGTGTTGTCTGTACCTTTGGTGTGAAGAATATGAATAAAGGGATACATATATCTAGATATATTCTAGGTAATGTCCTATTGTATTTAAAATTTGTAGCAATGATTGTTTGAATAAAAACATACCATGAGTGAAATAATTATTCCACATTAATTCACGTATTTATTTCACTTATGATACGTATTTTTGTTCCTTTCGCGTAGATTTTTGATCCTTTTCCCTTTTGAATATTAAACATTAAACACAAATAATGTTTATTAAATTAAGTTAATATTTTTATTTAGCTATTTATATTTTTATTTGAAATCAAACTTGATAAATATTTATAAAGATAATTAACAAGTAATGTGACACTAACACCATGTAATATTATCTTGTCGTTATTTATGATAATATTTTAAAATTATAATTTCAGTTAAAAAATTATTAAAAAAACATACTTTTAAAAAGTGAGTTAGCCTCCGCTACCCACATACTTATGAATTGGACTAGTTGTTTTTTGACCCACAAAAAGAATGGGCTAATTAAACCTGACCTATCAAATTTCAGAATCTGCATAGATTAGTCCGAACGAAATGAGTCAGCCCGTATTGAACAAAATATCAACAAGGACGTTATGTAAAGATGTTTAAGAAGGAAAAAAGATTTCTAATACATATGGACTTTCAATATCCCAACTTTGTCTGGCGATCTGAACCCTGCTTAGTTTGTTGATCATTAACTTGTCTTGCTATGTATTTAAGATTTAAACTTTATATGTTTAAACTTACAGAAAATACATATAAATCTCTCAAGACTTGGCAACATAATTTACTTTAGTACTTAAACTACATGAAAATTTAAATATCCTTTTAACATCTTTGAAGTGAATTAAATTATCACAATCCGAGCCTACACCTTGGACGTGGCCGGCACTCAAGAACCAGTGCTGGTCCCCAAGCTAACCCTCATCCTGACTGACTACAAGCGGAAGGCTAACTTAAGTATACAAAAGCTTAAAACTGAATAAAATAAACTTTACAAGGTTTTAACACAAATGAACAACTTTGAAGAAAATAATATATTCAACTAGCCATAAAATAGACAACTTTAGTCTTTAAAACATTTAATAAAATAAATGCAAAATATAGACTCCTTAACTAAACTGACTATCTATGGAGCCTCTAATTGATAAAGATGGAAGTCGGGACAAGACCACGACATCCTGACTAAACTGAGAAGTAAATAAAATCCCCCGGAAAAAAAGGAGCCTCACCATGGCTAACTCGAACTCGGGGATATATCAATGAAGCTCCTGTTGATGATCTTGAAGACATGTCTCTGCATCATCAAAAGATGCAGGCCAAATGGCTCAGTACGTAAAATGTACGAGTATGTAAGGGAAATTCTAAAGTATAACATAAGCTTGATACTTGAATAAAAGGAAACATACTTACCTCTTTTCAACTCAACTCAAATTAAGAATAAGATACTCAACTCAAAGATTAGGTATTCAACGCAAATATGGCACTCTACTCAATGAAGTACAAATTAACTCAGGATACTCGACTTAAGATACTCAACTCCCGACACTCAACTGAACTCATTTCAATATAAAGCAGCTTAAAACAAGTTCAGTATAAAGTAAAGTTGTTTAAAAACATGATGTCAACTCTGTGTGTATAATAAGGATACAACATAACTTTGAAATGTATATAAAAATACAATTAACTGATGTATATAAAAATACATTAATCTATGGGAGATTCTCTAACCGACAACCATCACTTAAGGGCTAAGATGATGATATAGCGATCTACCGCACGCTGCCATCGCATCTTATACCCGGCCAAAGGTATAAGACCTGAACTGCCTAATGAATCCACTAATAAACTGTTAAAAGGAATCATCTAAAAAGTATGACCCTTTTCTACCCATAGTGGCTAACATGGTTTATGGGGGCTGTGAGTTATCTGAACTCTCCCCCATATCGGTGCTCAATACTACTCCAAAAAATATACTGCTCTTATGTTTAAAAACATACTGATTCTGTGGTTTGAAATTATTGCTTAAAGCTTAGATTTTTGAAAAGCTCTCTTTTGAAAATCGTAGTTTCCTTTTTCTTCTATTAAAGCTAGACATAGGCTATGTAGAACTCTAGCTTACCTTCCTTCTCAAAAGTTTGAAAACATTTGCTTAGATTCTTAGGGACTACTTAGTTCCCTTGTTGGAATTCTACCCTCCTGAATTCTTCAAGGGAACACGTACAAACTACTTGTTTCTGTTCGCTTGAAAACTTAACAATAATTGTTTTGAACAACACTTTGTATTATTCGTAAATTTCAAACAATACAACGATTACAAAGCTTTGTTATCTAAGAAATTATAAACTCTAATTCCTTCTACCCAAGACAAAAACTAATCCCTAGTTTTATATCTTTTAATGTTTTTCAAGTTTTTCAACTTGTCAAGCAACTCCTTACTCACGCTACTCGGATTGTAAACAAGACTCTTGAATACAACATTACAATTTTCCACTCAACTTGCAGCACTCAAAAGTATTTATAAAAACTCTCTCAAGTCTCTTGATCGTGTTTTGAATTCCTCTCTTTGTAAGTGCGCAATTTTTTCTGATGCAAATAGCTCCCTATTTATAGATCAGAACTTCAACAAATCCTTGTACAATTCAACTTGTATTTGTCTTCTACAAATTCTTGTTTACTTCTACTTGGACTTTGATCAAAACCTTATTGAACTCAAATTTGTTTCCAGCAGTTTTCCTTAACCAAGTAAACTACTTTAAACAAAATGTACATATAAGTTTCCTTAAATAAGTAAGTGAATTTTCTTATATAAATAAGCGAAACTCGTACGCCGCACCAACACCCTTTTTAAAGTATTTCGTATTTCATTGGAACATGTTGCGTTACCTGTTCGATACAATTTTTGCCATTTTCAAAATCTCAAGATTAACATCCCTTATAACTCTTGAGAAGTGAACTTAGCTTGATACTCGTTGCTTACTTGAAAACTTAACTCTTAGGAAATACTTAGTTCCCCTATAGCTTTTGAGAAATGAACTCAACTCTTTACTCTGCTTGACTTGAATTTTAAGTCTTTTAAAACGAAGTGAAAACGTTTGTGAAAGACTTTAGAAAACTTTATAAACTTTACTTTGACTTGCTTCTTAACTTTTAGACTTGACACTTAACTTTTCTTGAATTGAAGTATGGATTCAAGGTTCATGATCTCATGTTTATGATTTCATGACTTTCAACTTGGAGGGTTCATGAGGAATTATGAGCATGAACTACTCAAATCGAGAACTGAAAGATACTTCTTAACTCAAGATAGGAATAAGGAACTCAATACTTAAGACTTAGAACTTGGAGATACTCCTCCTCCCAATGATTCTCAATTAATGAAATTCATGCGAAAGTTATGGACATGAACAACTCGACTCTAAGGTCTAAGTAACTAGATGAAACTCTTTTATGAATCTCTCATTATATTATTTACTTTCTCAAAACTTAGTTCATATCAATGATGGATCTCAAAGAACTCACAATGCAACTTAAAGACTTGAACTCTACTCTTAACTCTCTCTCTCTTGAATGTGAACTATGAATTTAAGAGTTATGGTTCATGATACGATGGATCTAGGTGATATTTTTGCCTCATGAATACATACTCTTCACTCTTATACTCACTTGTTTGAGTCTTGAAAACAAGTTACTAGAAGTTGTAGAAGACTCCTCAAAAGAACTCGAAGGTACTTTCTAAAAAAGGCTTGAAAGAAATCTCAAAACTTAATCTTGACTTTACCTTGAATTTGAATTATTGTTTCAAGGTTATGATTCATGTTATGAATGATTTATAAGTGTTTAGAAGTATTTTAAAGTGTTAAGAATCAAAAGGACTGAAGATACACTTTAAATAAGCTCAAACGGGACTATCGGTGCAAAAGGAATGGGGACAGGCGACCCTAGCACGTTCTGGGCTCGGGGCACTAGACCCTAACTTCAGCTACTGACTTTGGGCGCACTGCAGGCGCGTCGCCCCAGCACTTTGGGCACATCTGGGGCGCGCCACGCCAGCCCCTTTTCAGGCAACATTTCGACGAATTTCGCCTCTCGTTTTTTGACCCTAAATCATTTATCGATTTGTTTTCTCAAGTTTAGTCCAAAACTAAGAGTTATTATTTAAAAATAACAAATATATGAACAAATAAAAGAATTACGCTACAGTGAAATATGAATTATTTTTGTATATTTACCCTTTAATTGTTGTAGTAGCTTTTTGCAGAGTGCTTATAGTGGTGAGTGGGCAAGTATTGATTCTTACATTTTGAAATTAAAATATTTAGTTTTGTGATAAATGTGACCTATTTTGTAGTTATGTGTATGTAGCACATTATATAACATAACAAACTAGTTGCTATTTACATTTACATTAATCAAATCAATTGAAGGTTAAACTGCTTTTTCTAAAAGACATGCAGCATGTTGATGAATTATTTATTCACCTTCCTAATCACTATTTAATTATTTTTTATCCCTCACACCAAACGTTCTACTAAATTGGAAATCATGTCATACTATGTTCATCTTAATCTCCCTATCTAGATTAGCTTAACATCTAATATTGGGTAAAAGAGCTTCTGTCGTTATCTCTCGTAAGAGTTAATATTTGAAGAATTTAAATAAGTGGTGAATTTTGAACCAAAAGGTGGATGACTAGGGTATTTTGGACCCAATAGGTGGGTGAAAAGGGAATTTTGGAGGCAATAGGTGGATCAAGGATAATTTTATACCATTTCTAATACTTTGAGGATATTTTAGGCCATTTTTTCTGTAAGTATTAAATGCGTTAGTATGATTATTCATTTTTCTAATAAATTTTTCTAACTGATTGTTAATTTGTTGCTAACATATTATTCAAGTTTAATGTTAGGTTACTAATTGATTGACACTATATTCAATAGGGATAATGCCCAAGTACCCCCTCAACCTATCCCCGAAATCTCAGAGACACACTTATACTATACTAAGGTCCTATTACCTCCCTGAACTTATTTTATTAATAATTTTTTATCCCTTTTTAGCTTACGTGGCACTATCTTGTGGGCCCAACGATAGTTGACTTTTTTTTTTGAACTAGTGCCACGT